TGTGTGTGTGTATATATGCTATATATATGTGTGTGTGTATATATGCTATATATATATGTGTGTGTATATATGCTATATATATATATATGTGTGTGTGTGTGTATATATGCTATATATATATGTGTGTGTGTGTGTATATATGATATATATATGTGTGTGTATATATATATTTAATTTATTTATATTGTATATATATATATATATATATATATATATATATATATATATAGCTTCAGTTATCATTTATTTTATTTATTTTTTTACTTCTTGTTTTAGTTTTAGTTTTAGTTTCAGTTAACTATAACCTTGAAGTTAGAGACAACATTTTTATAAACCAGTTATTTGTATGTGAGCGTAACTGGTCGAGCATGGCATTACCAAAAGTTATAGTCACGTGTTTAATTTCCCAGCTTTTTTATGGATGGTGGCTTTGTGGTCAGGTTTTGTGTGAGGTTTACCTTCACATTGCTACAGTAGTTCTGTGTTGTTTGGACACAGTCAGTGATTCCTATCATTCACTTTTGGTTTTCGACCCACCATTATTCTTCACTGATGAAGTATTGCCATGCTTTGCTGGTGTAGTCATTATGATAATGATGCTGAAAATACAGCTTTGATCACAGGAGTAAATTACATTTGACAATGTATTAACATAAAAAGCAGTTATTTTAAATTGCAATAATATTTCACAACATTTCTATTTTTACTGTGTTTTGGATCCAATAATTGCAGCCTTGGTGAGCATATGAAACATCTTTTAAAAACCATTACAAAATTATGGTATTATGGAAGTGCACTGTGTTAATATGGATGCATTGTGTGAGTGCAAGTGAGTCCAAGGAAGCTGTGGGAACATGCTGGTATTGACAGAGTTTGGAAATGTAACCTGTTTTTGTCCCAGAGACCGTTACACTGTCGAGGTGCCTCTCCCACATCATGCCTTCCAAACGCTCCCGGATGAGCTGCGCCAGGGCAAGCCGCTACGCGTGCTCCCCGTGCTCTTCAACGTGGGCATCAACGAGCAACAAACCATCGCTGAGAGGTACAAGCACTGACTGATAGAAGTGGAATTTAATCCCTACAAGCATAAATGCTCGGTGAAGCGTGTCTGAGCTGGAACATGATGCTTGTGCTCTCTGTGTGTCTCCCTCTCAGATTTGGTGATATATCTTTACAGGAGAGAATAAACCAGAAGAACTTTGAGATTCTTGAAGGTTACTATAAATCCTTAACCAACACGCTGCCGTCTGAATGTAAGTTCATCATTCGAGAAACTGAGCTTTTTATATTGCATTTAGTCATTCATCAGTTACTTTTATTCAAACATTGGGAACAATATATTTAGAAACTAGTTATCAACTTGGTATTGTGCACTGCAAAAATGACTGATGTTGATATTAAAGTTGCAAAAACAAAACTTTTCACTTTCTTTAGTCAGAAGTCAAAAAGAGCTTTATTGTCAAGTATGTTTGCACATACAAGGAATTTGTTTTAGTGTCACATGCTTCCAGTACACAGAGACAACAACACACAGATAATAAAAAAATATGCATATGTATAGATAAATAAACAAAATATTGAAAAATAAACATTTCTGCAACATTCTTACTATTTCTCAACATTCTTATTACTAATTTCTCATTTATTTCTTTTAATTTTGAGGAAGAACTGAGATTCACCCATAATAATAAAAAAAAAAGATTAATACTGAGACTGTCATGTTTAAACTCAAATTAACTACTGTAACTAAAAAAAATTATTTACATTTTATTATAATGGGACTTTTATCAAAAAGATATTTATAATGTTACAAATGATTTTTCTGTTAAATTATTTTAAATAAATGCATTTGAATTTGAAAATTTCTTTTAATTTTGAGGAAGAACTGAGATTCACCCATAATAATAAAAAAAAAAGATTAATACTGAGACTGTCATGTTTAAACTCAAATTAACTACTGTAACTAAAAAAAAATTATTTACATTTTATTATAATGGGACTTTTATCAAAAAGATATTTATAATGTTACAAATGATTTTTCTGTTAAATTATTTTAAATAAATGCATTTGAATTTGAAAATGTGTGTGTGTGTGTGTGTGTGTGTGTGTCAAGTCACCTTTATTTATATAGCGCTTTTAACAATACAGATTGTGTCAAAGCAACTGAACAGCATTAATTAGGAAAATAGTGTCAATAATGCAAAATGACAATAGTAAACACTCATTTTTCAGTTAAAGACAGTTCATCATTGAATTCAGTGATGTCATCATCCAGCTCAGTTCAGTTTAAATAATATCTTTGCAATCAAGGCAACGATATCGCTGGAAATGAAGTGTCCCCAACTAAGCAAGCCAGAGGCGACAGCGGCAAGGAACCATAACTCCACTGGTGACAGAATGGAGAAAAAACCTTGGGAGAAACCAGGCTCAGTCGGGGGGCCAGTTCTCCTCTGACCAGACGAAACCAGCAGTTCAATTCCAGGCTGCAGCAAAGTCACATTGTGCAGAGGACTCATCTGGTTCCTGTGTGTGTGTGTACATATATACAGTATATATATATTTATATACTGTATATACACACACATTGTAAAACTTTGATAGTGGGCTGATAAAGAGATTTAAATCAAATCAGGAAAATGTTTTAATATATTTTCATATTGAAGTCTATATTTATCACTTGTTTTGTTATTTCTGAAAACGAAAACAAAACAAACGAAAAAACAAAAAGCCTACAGTCGACTGATTTAGTTTTTTAGACCAACTTCTGACGATGGGCATTCATGCGACACTTCTGCAGTGTCTGTGTCGAGCGCAGCGTCTCGTGTTTAACGGATTTGAGTGCAGGAATTCATTGTTCTCTGATGTCAATCACGTCTATGGAGTGTGACGGCTCCAGATGATGAATGCTCCCAGTAGACGAATGCCAAGCTGCATCGCAGCATGTCACATCTTGTTTATCAGAAAAATAACATGTCCCCAGACTTTTCAATCTCATATTTAGTGCTTGTCGATACAGGGACAAACGAGCCCTCTTTAAACCTGTTGATGCATGACATCTCAAGTGTCTGCTCTTTTTCTCTCTTCTTTCCGAAGGCCTGCCTTGTTTTCAGACACAGACAGACATCAAGGAACTGCTCGACACCCTCGGCCAGAATGTAGTCACCAAGAAGAGAAAGAACGTGGAGATCCTGTGGCTTGCAGGAATGGTGAGGCTGAGTTTGAGGTCATGGAGTCTGCAGGAAGTGTGTGCAATTTGTTTCGTAACCTCACATTTGGGAAACATTAGGTTGCTGAATGAGCATTCAAATAAATTTTCTGTGACGGTCAGCATTTCAAGTAAGAGATTGTAATCTTTTACATCATGAGTTTCAAGAGAGTAATTTCTGGCTTATAAAATGTAGCATTTTTGGTCTTTTGTTTGTGTGACCAATATATACAGTACACAACCATTGAAATGTTTGGGGGTAAAATTTGTCTTGTTTTGTTTTATTTTATTCAACAAGGCCACATTAAATTGACATAAGTGACAGTAAATACGTTTATAATGTTAGAAAAAAATTTAGATTTTTTTTTTTTTCAAAGAATGGTGTTCTTTTGTACGTTCTGTTCTTCAAATAATACTGTATTTTTGATCAAAAATGCATAAAAAATATATATATCATTTTATATAATATAATTTAATGTGGTCTTGTTGAATAAAAAAATATACATATATAAAATAAAATAAAAATTTCCACTTACCCCTTTAATTAAAGGAAGTGAAAGTAAGTAAAAACGATTCCATCTGTCACATGTCTCCTCAGATCTGTCGACGGATGAATGGTATCCGCTTCACCAGCTGTAAAAGTGCCAAAGACAGGACGTCCATGTCAGTGACACTGGAGCAGTGCTCTCTGCTGAGGGACGAGCACCAGCTCAATAAAGATTACTTTGTGCGAGCTCTGGACTGCATGCGGAGGTAAGCGCCAGCCATTTCTGCGTAGATCTGTTCTCCTTGTATGTGCATGCATTATAGGAATAGTTCACCCAGAAATGACAATTTGCTGAAACTTTACTCGCACTCAGGCCATCCAAGATGTAGATAAGTTTGTTTCTTCATCAGATTTGGAGAAATGTAGCATTTCATCACTTGCTCACCAGTGGATCCTCTGCAGTGAATGGGTGCCGTCAGAATGAGAGTCCAAACAGCTGATAAAAACACACAGTAATCCACAAGTAACCCACACCACTCCAGTCTAGCAATTCATGTCTTGTGAAAAGCTGCGTGATGTATAAGATGTTTTTCATTTCAAACCATTGTTTCCAGCTGAAATGCAAGTCCAAAATATTGGATGCTTCAGTGAAAAAGTCATCTTGTCTGAATCAGCAGAAAAATCTGCACAGATCAAGCACCGTTTACAAGCAAAAAGAGTTCAAAACGGCTTTTGATGTGAGAGGACAACAGGACATGAACTTTATAACTCCAGGAAGCATTATAATGGACTCGTATTTTACCCAGAAGCTATGTTTTAAATTTAAAATGCCTTAATGATGGATTTGTTTCTTACAAACACGCAGCTTTTCACTTCACACAACATTAATTGATGAACTGGACTGGTGTGGTGTGTATTTCTTGTGGATTATTGTGATGTTTTCATCAGCTGTTTGAACTCTCATTCTGACGGCACCCACATTTCTCCAAATTTGTTCTGATGCAGAAACAAACTCATCTACATCTTGGATGGCCTGAGGGTAAGAACATTTTCAGCACATTTTCATTTTTGCGTGAACTATTCCTTTACACTTAGCGTTACACATAACGTGACATTTGACATCTAATGCTGATAATAAAGTCTGTCTTACATGTTAACCCAATACCAGTGCATCTGATTGTGTTGTGCACAAAAAACATTCACCCATGATGCATTAAAATACTTGTATGTATGTTGTGAAACAGAGCCCTCGCAGTTTGGTTGAAATCCAAGCCAGTGTAAATTTTACATGAAGATTAACTGATACAGAATCCAAAATATGTGAAACATTCCTTCCTCTTCACATCCCAAAGGAGAGACCCAGTGAAAAGTTTAACATCCATGTTGATATCCGATGATTCTCACATGCAGCCTGTTATTATTAAGATGTTATTGTGAAATAAAGGCGGCAGAAGCTTTTGCCACAAAAGAGCATTGAGAAGCTGAAGACATACATACAGACAAAAAGGCTTTATAAGAAGCCATGTGGAACATCTGGAAACTTTCACTGGCAGCTGCACATATTTACGGCCCACACTGCCGATCTTGTAGGAAAAAAGTAATCAAATGTTTATTTTATTTCACTACATGTTGCACACATACTCTAGTAATATCCTGTTTGATCCCAAACAAAGGCTCTGTTTTGAAATATTATAATCTGTCACAGAACTATTCCAAACCGCTCTCACTGCAATAAATACTGTCTGATGAGATCCTTTCATTTGACCAGCATGTACCGTTTAAAGAGAATGCAATCCCAAAATCTATTACAACATGCTCAGTGAAAAAAAACATACATGTATATGTGTATATATTACTGCTGTCAAACGATTAATCGCAATTAATCTCATCCAAAAAAAGTTTTTGTTTACGTAATATATGTATATGTACTGTGTTTATTTATAATGTAAAAAAAAAAAAACAGTGAACTGTTCATATTGAAAAAATTGTTTAAGATATTGCTAAAAATAGCTCAGTATTTTACCCAATGTTTGTGCATGCTGTTTGTTTTTATCACTTGTCAACACTAAAGTCGATTGGAATAGACTGTATTTACTTTATATATAATTATTTTGCACACTTTGAACTCAATATCATAGCAGTTATGTCTGCCACTACTCATTTAGCACCAAGAAATTATTTGAGCTTGGAAAATTAGATTAATCTCATTTATTTGCTTTACTTTTCAAATATTTACGTTCCTCCATCTGCTGCTTCACTTGGTACCAAAATATGATTCATTTGCTAAATGGCTTGACAAACATGCTAAGACTCAACACTGCATCAGGATAAATGTGCTCAAGCAGTGTTTAAGTCATTTAGCTATGATTTGCATGTCTCCAATGTAAACAAACTGACTCAACCAAACAGCATTGTGTCTCGATAAAATATCTAGTTTAGTTCGATTCAACTCTCCTTTAAGATAACACTTGAAATTGCATTGTGAACAGAACATTTTTTCCATGCAAACACATTGCATGGAAAGATACTTTCCCATTGCTGTTGTTTTCAGCACGCCTTTGACTTCTTTTTGAACATTTAACATATTATAACGAGGCATAAACTTCCTTTTCAGAGAAAATAAGCACAGATGATTTGCAAGTTTTCTTTCTAGAACACCACAAGGTCATCAGATCCTGCTAAAGATGCTCATGGTGTATGTGAAGTGCCTGCGCTGATGGGCGATTCTCTTATTAGTAGTGTTGGGTGTTGAAGCCCTGAAGGCTTCGAGTTAGTTTGTTTTGCAGTGGCAGATGAGAAGGCTGTTGATTTTACGTAGCAGAACCAGTCTGCGGAAATGGTTTAAAGCCAAAATAGAAAATTGAGCTGACACGTGTGCTGATTAATGTGGATGCATGTCAAGCTGTGTGACGGTCACTCAGCTGTATAGATTTACTGTGACATTTCAATGAGATATTGTGTAAATCTGAGACAAAAACCAAACTCTTTCATCCCCTTTCAAAAGAATATCAGTGTTTGTTATACTCTTGAAGGTGCAGGTCGCCTCGACTGACCTTTGTGTGCATGCATCTAGAAATACAATACTGGATTTTTTTAAATATAAATCAAAAGGTTTACGTTAAACCTTTTTAATTCAGAATGATTGCTTTAACATCACAGAATGGCATTTAATATGAACACGCAGCAGGTGTTTTCAATACACTATTTGCACAGTAAAAAAATGTAGAAAATAAGCACAGATGATTTGCAAGTTTTCTTTCTAGAACACCACAAGGTCATCAGATCCTGCTAAAGATGCTCATGGTGTATGTGAAGTGCCTGCGCTGATGGGCGATTCTCTTATTAGTAGTGGTGGGTGTTGAAGCCCTGAAGGCTTCGAGGTAGTTTGTTTTGCAGTGGCAGATGAGAAGGCTGTTGATTTTACGTAGCAGAACCAGTCTGCGGAAATGGTTTAAAGCCAAAATAGAAAATTGAGCTGACACGTGTGCTGATTAATGTGGATGCATGTCAAGCTGTGTGACGGTCACTCAGCTGTATAGATTTACTGTGACATTTCAATGAGATATTGTGTAAATCTGAGACAAAAACCAAACTCTTTCATCCCCTTTCAAAAGAATATCAGTGTTTGTTATACTCTTGAAGGTGCAGGTCGCCTCGACTGACCTTTGTGTGCATGCATCTAGAAATACAATACTGGATTTTTAAAAATATAAATCAAAAGGTTTACGTTAAACCTTTTTAATTCAGAATGATTGCTTTAACATCACAGAATGGCATTTAATATGAACACGCAGCAGGTGTTTTCAATACACTATTTGCACAGTAAAATAATGCTGTCAACAAATTAAACAATTTCATTCGAGGGCGTGTTAAGTGTCGGAAAGAGGTGCAGTAAATGTTTAGCAATAGTGAGCATTTAGTGAACGTTTCTTTGTTAACTTGAATCCATCAATGATTATTTTAGTACTTGTGAGGCAATGTTTAAGAAACCTGTTTGAAAATGGTGATTAGTTTTGCAATTTAGCATGTCATCAATGATGCAGCTGAGGCTCATAACTTATGAATTATGCGACTGATTTGTGACCCTGGACCACAAAACCAGTCATAAGGGTACATTTTTTTAAATTGAGCTTTATACGTCATCTGAAAGCTGAATAAATAAGCTTTCCACTATGGTTTGTTAGGATAGGACAATATTTGTCTGAGATGCACCTATTTGAAAATCTGAGGATGCAAAAAAAATCTAAATATTGATATCGCCTTTAAAGTTGTCCAAATGAAGTCCTTATCAATGCATATTACTAATCAAAAATTGAGTTTTGATATACTTACGGTAGGAAATGTACAAAATATCTTCATGGAACATGATCTTTACTCAGTATCCTAATGATTTTTGGCTACAAATATACCTGTGCTACTTATGATTGGTTTTGTGGTCCAGGGTCTCATTTGTCAGTCTATTGGACTGATTCATTTAAAGGAGTCAATTGTTTGTGACGACACTTGTTGCCCAGTATGTTTGTTTTTGTGCACAACACAAGAGAAAGATATTTGTATCATTTTTGCATTGCCCAATCTGCCTCTCTCAACACACTCAGTTCAGATTTGATTACTTGCTGTTTTGCAATAGATTCACTATTGTTGTTTGCTATTCCGTCCACATCGGTGGAAAAACACAGACATTCAACAACCATTAATGGGCCAGAATTGAATGAGAATCATTTGCTTCAGATATTTCCTTCTGCACACGAGTTAATGAATTTTCGTCTCCATTTACCTTTATTTTTGCCATCATTTTAAACTCTCAGTGTGTATTGTATGTGTGTATGTGTGTGTGGACTGACCTATTTAACGTCTTGTTGAATGTGTTTGTGTGTTTGCTTCTTTCTCTCTCTCTCTCTCGTTTCTGCTCAGCGGTCTCTTGGCCCAGGGAGAGGTTGCCCAATGGGACGACCCTGAAGCAGGCTCTGTAGCTATTAACAAGCCGGCGTCCCGCCACTTCTATCCGATCGCCCTTCTGCTTGTCAGCTCCCACCTGCTAGTGGTGTGGCTCATTTTAAGTCTTGTTTTTTTGCTTGCAAAATACCAATAAACTGCTGATTATGCCATAACCGAGCTGCGTCTAACTTCTTACTTGCTTCCTCGAGTGGTTCGCTCTGTCTTCACGAATAGCACTTTGATTTCTGATTTTCATTCGGGAGTGGTTATGTCACTGGGTATTTATGGAAGCCGTTTTTTTGCCAAGGAATTAAAAAAAACTAAATAGAAAAGATATTCGCTTTTTGTCTCACAATTCAGAATTTTTCTCTCTGAATTCTTAGTTTATATCTTGCAATTCAGACTTTCTTTTTCTCTGAATTCAGAGTTTATATCTCGCAATTTAGACCTTTTCTCTGAATTCTGACTTCATATCTCACAACTCTGAACTTTTTTCTCTGCATTCTGAGTTTATAACTTGCAATACACTTTTTAACTATGAATTCTGAGTTTATATTGCAATACACTTTTTAACTATGAATTCTGAGTTTATATTGCAATTCTGACTTTTTTCGCTGAATTCTGATTTTATATCTCGCAATTCGGACTGTATTTTTCTCTGAATTCTAAGTTTATATCTCGCAATTCTGACTTTTTTTCTCTGAATTCTGAGTTTATATTTTGCAATACATTTTTTCTCTGAATTCTGAGTTTATCCTGTCATTTTGACTTTTTTTCTCTGATTTCTGAATTTATATTTTGCTATACATTTTTTCTCTGAATTCTGAGTTTTTCTCTCGCAATTCAGAGAAAAGGTTAGAATTGTGAGATAAAAACTCAGAATTCAAAGCAAAAAGTCTGAATTGTAAGAGAAACGGTCGCAATTACCTTTTTTATTTATTATTTTATTTTTATCCTGTGGAGGAAACAGGCTTCAATAGGAATTTAATGTTATACAACTACTAACAAAATAAGTAGTTTCACTTTAAGCACTCATGCTACTAAAGATTTTGGTCATATTTAATGGTTCGTGTCTTTCCACCCTTATGTTATTTTCTCTGTGAAACACAATATCTCATACAGGTTTGGAATGGTATTTTGATCTCAAATGGAAAGCATTTTAGCAGCTGCACATGATTTTTTTGTCAGAAGGAAGTGAGGATGTGTTTGTTGTTGTTTTTTGACACGCTCTAAATGCAGTATGAATGTCACAGTTATCGGTTGCATTATGCTTTCATAATTGAAGTGTCATTTATTCAGTACAATCAAAATGTTTCCTCGTGCTTTGCATATTAACACCCTTATGTTATTTTCTCTGTGAAACACAATATCTCATACAGGTTTGGAATGGTATTTTGATCTCAAATGGAAAGCATTTTAGCAGCTGCACATGATTTTTTGTTAGAAGGAAGTGAGGATGTGTTTGTTGTTGTTTTTTGACACGCTCTAAATGCAGCATGAATGTCACAGTTATCGGTTGCTTTATGCTTTCATAATTGAAGTGTCATTTATTCAGTACAATCAAAATGTTTCCTCGTGCTTTGCATATTAAAGTGCAGGTACAAACACTGAGGCCTTTTCATAGTCATTTTGGCTCTTTTATGATTTCATCCTCATCATTATTATTCCTTTCCTTTTCTTTCTATTTCATCTTCCCCTCATCAGAGAAGGCTGCCGGATTGAGAATGTGCAAAAGAATATAAAGTGCAGAAAGTATGCTTTCAACATGCTCCAGCTGATGGCCTTTCCCAAATACTACCGGCCACCTGAAGGAACATACGGCAAGGTGGACTCCTGAAACACAGCACCATTATTTTTACTCTTAACATACTATATATACAGTGGGGTTCAGACGTCCACATTGAAAGGGATTCAAAATGCTATTTTTTTTATTTTTTTTTAATAATTATTATTTTAAATAATGCTTTAACGACAGCAGCAAAACCAAATACTATACAAATACAAATACCCATTTTGACTATACAATCTCTTTCTATTTCATCTTCCCCTCATCAGAGAAGGCTGCCGGATTGAGAATGTGCAAAAGAATATAAAGTGCAGAAAGTATGCTTTCAACATGCTCCAGCTGATGGCCTTTCCCAAATACTACCGGCCACCTGAAGGAACGTACGGCAAGGTGGACTCCTGAAACACAGCACCATTATTTTTACTCTTAACATACTATATATACAGTGGGGTTCAGACGTCCACATTGAAAGGGATTCAAAATGCTATTTTATTTAATTTTTTTAATAATTATTATTTTAAATAATGCTTTAACGACAGCAGCAAAACCAAATACTATACAAATACAAATACCCATTTTGACTATACAATCTCTTGACTTTTGCACCCCGCTGTACGTGTGTGTTTATGTGCAAGTTCATTTCATATACATATATAACAGAAAAGTGTTTTGTTTAATATATTTTTAAAAAGGCCTACTGAAAAGGACATACTCTTGTTTTATGGTTTTAAGAAAGAATGCAGTACATTATTTAAAAATAATTTAAAAATATTAAATGTAAACTGTAGTAAATATACATTATTTACATGTAAATCGTCAAATGTTTTCTATCAAAAGTGAAAAGTGAGCAATTTACAGGAATTGTCTGTGAATATGTAGCTTTGAATGCCAAGTAAACCGTTTGCGGGCCGTCATACCAGTTGAGATTCATCACATGTCTGTATGTGTCTCATGACCAGAGATTGTGTTTTGTTGTTATTGTTCTGGTTTTGTACTGAGGTATTTCTGAAAGTGTGTACTGTACGTTTTTTTTATTATTATTATTTGTGTTGGTATATAAAGCCATTTCACTTTCAGTTTTTAGGATGATTCTTGGACATAGTTCCATAACAGCCTTCAGCTTGCTTTTGCACTCATGCATTAATCTGAAGTTTACATAATATGCTCTATATGCTGCCAACTTGTGCTAAAAGGCCTCATACCAAATGTCACTTTGACAGCGTTTATTTGTGAATTTGTGCTGTTTTTAGATGCTTATCACGGTACAAGTGGATCAGATTCATACTGAAAATATAATTTTTTGCAAGCTACACTGATTAGATGGCGTGCCGCTATTTTAGCCACCAAGAACTAGCCCGGGGTGCGTTTCCCAGAAGCAACTACGCTGGCAAAATAGAGTTCAATGGAACTAACCATAGAGATGTATACCTAGATGCCTCATTAGCGACTGTTTCTGCGGGCCGCTATACGTAAGCCGTCCGCCATATTGTAATGGTCAACTTCATGTCATTCACCATAGTAACCAACAGTGTTGGGGGTAACGCATTACAAGTAACGCGAGTTACTTAAATGTTAAACAACACAAATATGCTTTATGTATTTAATCCCATTCTATTAACCAAAGTCTTTGCTTCTGACCTTCGATGATCCAGTTCAACCGTACTAATAAGCACAAATTACTCTAGACCAGTGGTTCCCAAACCTGTCCTGGAGGACCCCCTGCCCTGCACCTTTTGTATGTCTCCCTTATCTAACACACCTGATTCCACTCATCAGCTAGTTAGTAGAGACTGCAAGAACTAAATTGGGTGTCTGATTAGGGAGACATACAAAATGTGCAGGGCAGGGGGTCCTCCAGGACCGGTTTGGGAACCACTGCTCTAGACAAACATGTGTGTGTCTTTTTTTATTGCTGAAGTGTGTTGAAATTTCTTCTTCTACATTCTACTGTACGGACGTAAATGTACTTTCCCTTCAGCCTGAGGCTGATTCATTTCACTTTTGGTGTGAAAAGGCTTTCATATTTGCCAAAAATTTAACTTTTTAAAAACAAACAAGCAAGCCCTGTCCAGATTTATAAAAGTAACCCAATGCATTACTTTCCATAAAAAGTAACTAAGTACCTTAATTAGTTACTTTTTTCATGGAGTAATGCAATATTGTAATGCATTACTTTTAAAAGTAACTTTCCCCAACACTGGTAACCAGTGAATATTCGAAGATGCCACAATCCTGCACAGCCGATGGTCTGCAAACCCATAGTATGGTGAATGACCTCAAGTTGACCACTCCAAAATGGCCGACGTGTCTACATGCTTGGAGCGGTCGAATGGGGCGTCTATACATATCTATGGAACTAATGACCATAGTTAGCTAACAATGCTGTTGGGAAACGCACCCCTGGACGAGAGCAGAGCGCTATTATCATCAATTATCAAAAAAAGACAGTTATCGCTTTTCATGTAGTCACATAGTAAATTATGTCCGTTACATGAAAGTAATACTGACTGCTTTTACGGGTTTTGCAAAACTTAAAAACGTTCTGGAAAGTCCCGCCGTCAAATTATTACCACATGAGTGAAAGTACAAAATTATTTTAATTGTTACATTAAAGCAGTTTGTCTTCAAATGAACAATGCGGTATAATACACCTAATTAGCCGAATTAAGGATAGTAAAGTTCAATTTCCAAAAGCACAAACAAAATTATGTAATGATTTCAGCTTTATCCGTCCCTCTGACTGGATGTGATGTAGCCTATTGTTAAGGATAAGAATAAGTACAAATAATTATCTGCACAGCCTTTGGAAACTCCAAAAGTAGGGGCAAACATTTGTCTTATATTAGTACCTGTTCATTAATAAGCACAGCAGTTTATAATTTCCTGACTAAACAGTCCTCAGCTTTCCTCAAACTGCTGTTTCAATTCACATGAAGATCAGTGATCAGAAGTGCTGCAGATCCTTCAACAGAAAGTCAACAGCCTGCAGCATCAAACCACCTCAACATCATCATCAGGTAAGCAGCTAAATGACAAATTCAGAAACCATTCAATCATGAAAACGAGGCTGTAAGTATAAAAGCTCGTTTCCATCACAAATTTAAAAAAAAGACTTTTTAATCGCGATTCTATATCTCAGAATTCTGAATTCATCTCACAAATTGGACTTTTCAGGGATATAAATGCAGAATTGCAAGACATGTACATGCAAGATGTTACAATTTATAAAGAACGAACAGATATAAACTCGCAGTTTTGAGAAAGAAAGCCAGAATTATGAGAGAGAAACTCAAAATTGCAAGAAAAAGTAGCAATTGCCTTTATTTCACGGTGGAAACAAAAAAAACTGAATTGCAAAATGAAAACTCAGTGGGGAAAAAAGTGAGAGATGTAAACACAATTAAGAGATGAAAAGTCAGAACTGTGACATACAAACAAAATCTTTAAAAAAAAGTCGCAATTACCATTCATGGCGAAAACAAAATGTAAACGCAGGATTTAAAGAAGAAAAAAACTCGAGTTTCAGTAAAAATGAGAGGGCGTTTTCTTTACCACGGCAGACACTATTGAAATCCTAGATCACGTAACTGTTTTGTTTCATATCATTGTTTGACAATGTTCAATGGAGTTATATGGAGTTTATTTTTTCATCAGCGGAACAATTATGTTGCTAAACAACAGTACAGTTCACTGAACGCACTGTACTTGTATTCCTCACAGCATTGTTTTCATTCCTGTCAAAAAGAACACAAGGCACCATCCTGACTAAAGTGTGTGAGTGATTTGTGACATGAACATGTAGTTCATAACCCTCATGCAGCTCTTATGGGGCAGTCATGGAGAAGGTCAGGCCCTCAATGATCTTCCACAGGAAATTCCTCCTCACACAAACTGAAACAACAGAAGCTGTTACTCCCTCAACGTTACAAAATGATATCTGGTGTCAAGTTTCCTTCAGACCGGTCTGAAAATCAGCCTTTGAAGAAGTGATTCCATAAATGACATTACTTCTGTTCATAAAAAAATGCTTTAATGTAACAATACATTGAATATAAAACAATATATAAAACCTGTTTTACATTAAACAATTTTTCACCTTCAAATTCTGTACACTTACAAGACGTTCACAGTTCAACAATCATTCACAAAACCCCTTTGTTACAAAAATATATCATTCTTACAGCATTAATAAAGTGACACTTTCAGACTGAGGTGATATAAATATTAATAACAAAAATAAAAGACTAGCATAATTTAAAATGACAACAGATAAATGAGCTTATTGTACATGCTTTCAGGGAAATAAAGAATGATTTTAGTCGCATGTTATAGTAGAAGTTTGTCTGCAAAGAGTTTGCTGTTTCTCAAGGAACTCTGTCATCTTCTCCAAGAACTTCTTGGAGGGGGCAAGTTCTTGTAGTTCACAAGGATGTCGCTCTGAACACTTCTGTGGAAGCAGTCCAAACACAGACTCGTTACAAACATAACCGGGATGCTCATCATTCAGAACTGAAAAATCAGCTTCTTTCCGATTCATAAATGCGAAAATGAATTGGAATGACAGGATGATTCATTTAAAAAACAAAATCTCAACCACTTAATAGTACAAGTTCATTTTTTTTCTTAATTATGCATAATTCATATTCTCCACTCTTTATTATTATACCACTCCTATATCTAGAATTATTTATCAAATTATTAGACATTTTTCTTTACTATGCTCAGTATTTTCAAACAATAATCAGACAATAAATTGTGAAACATTTTGCCATACAGCACCACAAAATGTCCAGTGCACACATTGTTTTCATATTTAATTCTATATTAAAATATATAAACAATATGAAATTTATCAATATTATATAGCTATAATATGTCACACAAGTGTACTACTAATAAACATGTTTCCATCCTGGGCCATAAAAGTAAAGTTAATAAATGATAAATAAAACATGTATATAAACTTTCAGTGTATAAAACATTTAGGGCCAGTTTTACTAAACAGGGCAAACTAGCGCGAGAGCGCAATTCCAAAACAGCGCCTTCTGAGGGTGATTAACTAACAAAGTGCAAAAGATTTGATCTCATTTACATCTCGAGCAATGCAATATACCAAGCGCAGCACTCACTTTTCAGCGCTAGTTCAGGGTTCCAAGTCGTCTTTTATTTCCTGAAGCAAATTAAAAATAGCATGGCTTGGCAAACTATATTTCGGATGATGTGTTCTTCTGGCATCCCAAATAAATGAATATGTGTGGGGAAAAAATCCTCTCCCTTCTACCCTTCACTCTATTCTCTGCGGTGCCTTCTCCTAGCAACAATAATTGCAGCCATTTCAAGCAAAATAGCCTAATTTAAAGGGGTCATATGATGCTTTTTTAAAGATCATTATTTTGTGTATTTGGTGTAACAGAATATGTTGACATGCTTTAATGTTCAAAAAACACATTATTTTTCAAATACTGTACATTATTGTAGGTCCTCTATGCCCCGCCTCTCTCAAACGCTTCGTTTTCTACAAAGTCCCTCCTTCCGACAAGCGCAGTCTGCTCTGATTGGCCAGCTGACCCAGTGCATTGTGATTGGCCGAATACGACAATCTATGCACAATCAGCTTGAAACACTCCAAAGAGAAAGGAAAACTTTTAATCGCATCATATGACCCCTTTAAGACATGCTTTTTTAGGGCGTTAAATAATGGCGCAAATACCAGTAATTTGACAAGCGCAAACGTTAGTAAAACGCGTTGCGTGATTCATTTGAAAACTCTCCTCCCATAACTTTTGCGTCTGAGAGGGAAACTCCTAGAAATGCATATTCAATAAGGTCAGGCGTAAAATGTCCATGCCTTTTTAACGGCAAAAGATGGTTTGCGTGGGCGCAAGCTGTTAGTAAAACTAGCCCAATAATGTATAGCTCATTTGATCCAGTTCAGCCATGTCAATTCTGAATGATGCACAATCTTGACACACACACATTGTGGTATTGCTTTGACTTACATTTTTGTTATATACTTCTAAAGATTTCTCTATCACGGGCTTGTGCTTGTTTTCATTTGTTGGGTCTTCGTCATGCAAGAGAACGTTCATCTCCATCAGAAAACAGTCAAAAAACTTAAATGTGCAATTCTGCAGACAAACATAGAGGTCAATTAGCACTGGATTTTAATGTTTATTGCCATGCCAGTAATCCATAATTTGTTGACAGTACTGTTTATTTGGTCAAATGATTCTCTTGAGTTTTTTTAAGTGAACTTACCTGGATATCATCAGTGTTTGGTGTATACAAACTCGCATTAGAATGCTGGAGAAAAAGAAAATCACAAATTAGGATTCTGATTTACTATGTAGGCCAAGTGGCAATTTTGTGACAGCTGGGAAAAGAATGCAGATAATATAGCAATTATGACACTCCTTGAGTTACACAATAAATCAAAATCTCAGATGTTATACTTACTTGGAATAAAAGCTTGGTCTTGCTGTCTTGGAGTGCGTCCTGGATGTCTTGCAGTGCCTGTGTTTTATGACCTTCAGCCACGGGCAACAGAGCACTTAGACAGCTGAACACACACACACAAAATACACAAAACCAACCGTAATATGGCATGAGTTAATGTAGAATGATTTCATAATCCTGCACAATTCAATTATAATTTGCTCCATCTGCATTACACATCCATTTGCAATGCCACAGTTCTGTTGGATTCAACTACTGTAGTGCTAATGCTGTCCAGGGAGCAGCACCCAAACCAAACCCATGACTATATTCTCACAGCCACAACTCATTAACCATTCACGACCCGTGTTTTGATCTGTTCTTCATGCAGCTCTTCAGAACGCATCCAAAAACAGGAGTGTTAATACAGAAACACCAACACAATCATGCAGCGCATGGCTCTGTTCCAAAACCTATAGTGAGCCGCCTTGTTCTCTACAATTAGATCAGAGCTAAAACGGAGCTTTGTATTTGAATGATTCAGAACACTCTACACTACTGTTCTGAAGTTTGTGCTCAGTGAGTCCAAGACTGCATTTATTTGTTAAATAATACAGTTAAAGTGCTAGTTCACCCAAAAATGAAAATTACACCATGATTTACTCACCCTCAAGGCATTCTAGGTGTATATGACTTTCTTCTTTGAGACGAATCCAATTCGTTATATTAAAAATTGTCCTGGCACTTCCAAGTGTTAGAATGGGGGTACGCGGGTGTTTTTGTTCAACAGTCCAGAAGTAGTCAAATAAAGCATGCGCATCCATAATAAAACACGCATCACACGGCTGTTCTCTATTTGGTTATATTGTAAAATGTAATTTATTCCTGAGATGCAAAGCTGAGTTTCCAGCATCATTACTCCAGTCTTCAATGTCACATGATCCTTCAGAAATCATTCTGATATAATAATTTGCTGCTCGAGAAACATTTGTGATTATCATCAATTTTGGCAACAGTTATGCACAGCCATATTTAGATTTTTTTATATAAATATAGAAACCTTTAGTAACATTATAAATGTCTTTACTTTGCCAAATAAAAGTATTAATTTCTTTTCTTTCTTTTTTTTTACATAGAGCACAACTTTTGGGCACAATAGTCCATTTGTAATAGGATTGAAATATTTTCATTGATACTTTTTGTTAATGAATTAATTTGAACTATTCTTAAGCAATATTTCTCACACTTGGGATCGGTTTTTGTCCATTAAGCTCAATGCAAAATGCACTATAGCATCACCTTCTTCATGAAGTACCTACTCCACAAACAATTTGGCCAAAAGAAGTTATATTACAATAAAGCATAGCCTTTTGGAACAGCCTTCACACTTGGATTTGGAACAGAGCCAATGCAACTCCAGTGTGTTTGTTTCACTTGCAGTGGAAAACTAGATCAATCAAGATATCAACAAATCAAATAGAGCAAGCGTTATATATACTGTATACAAAACTGTTTTCCTGCAAACCTAGTTATTTTTACCACCATCTTGTGACCAATGATCTCAATGTCATTGTGGTATCAGATTTAGGTTTCACTTGTATCTGATCACGTTTAAGGTCACCATTCTCCACCCTTTTTGTTGCAAGCAAACTGAAAAGGCTAAACAACTTTGTTCTGAACAGATAATATTGTCGTGTGCTCTAGGCAGAGCGAGGCAGAGATTGATCTTGCAGTGGGTTCATATTACCAGCCGTGTCGGCGTCTCTTGATAGTGTACAGCAGACATGCACACTGTAGTGGGGCAGCAGCAGATTAAGGGCCATTTAAATTGGACTTTAGAAATCTCAGATGTGTCAATTCATCTAGTGCATAAGACTATTTTTTATGGACTGTAACTGTATTGGGGGGGATGCGGGCTAGATGTCACATGGTGACGCTGTCACAAGGGCTGTATCTCAACAATTATAAACTCAAGAACTATAAAGAGTCAAAAGTCCAATTAGACAAATGTAAGAGTGCTAGAGTAAATAAAGTCGACTGTATAATGAAGGTAGCTATTAACTGATAGCTTGAGTAGTGTTCTTCTCACGACACTGCAGTTTAGCTGGGGCAAGTTGTCACGTGTTATATGTTGTAATTTTATAGAAATGACTCGTGGCCAAAACAACAGTTTGCTGGTTTTGCCTCCTATTTTTGCAGTTTCAAGCATTGTTTTATGTGTCATGCAACTTATGATAGACTTATTTATTGGCAGATTCCCATTGTAACAACTTTCCCCGCATAGTTTGTCGAAATGGCCTGCTATTATTGGGGAACATGTTTGTTCTCTCTACAATAATAAGCTGTAAAAATGATTTGTTACAACATATTATTAACAAAGATATTTAAAGTATGTTTTAAAAGGAAATACTGTTTGAGTCTTTGTCATTTCTGGGTGAAAACAGATTCAAAGTAAATGTTTTTTTCAGTTTAGTAAATGTTGAATAGCTTTTTTGTAGTTGAGACTTGTATGTAATGTATGTGTCTGATACACATACACAGGCTGGCATTCAAATGAACCCTGAGAAATATTCAATATTCAAAAAGGTATACAGTTCCTATACAGTTTCTCTTCAATTGACATTGTAAAAATTCAAATAAAATTGTAAATAGAACAAAAATTATTGGAGTACGTTTTACAAGAAAATACTGTTTCAGTCTTTCTACTTCACAATTTCACATTTAATTCAATGTTACGTGCTGTTTTCTTGTAATAATTTGTGAAATTTACTACCAATTTCTGAATGAAACTTGTTTTTCAGTGGATTTTATTAGGGGTTAAAGGGATAGTTCACCTTCAGTTGGTCCCCATTGACTTTTTTCCCCCGTACTATGGAAGTCAATGGGAACCAGCAATTGAAGGTGAACTATCCCTTTAATTCATGACAGCTGGGCCATCTTAAAGGGATAGTTCACCCAAAAATGAAAATTCTGTCATTAATTACTCACTCTCATGTCTTTATATTGTTGAATAAAGTCGGGTTTTTTTCTTTTTCTTTTGCACACAAAAAGTATTCTCGTAGATTCGTATAATTACGGATGAACCACTGATGCCACATGGATTATTTTACAGATCTCCTTGCTACGTCTCTGGACTTGGGAACATTTCAGTTGCGTTGCGGTCTATGCAGGGTCAGACAGCTCTCAGATTCCATCAAAAAGATCTTAATTTGTGTTCCGAATATGAACGAAGGTCTTACGGGTTTGAAACGACATGAGGGTGAGTAATTAATTTTTGGGTGAACTATCCCTTTAATAGTAGAAAGTGGCCAAAGTTAGCTAATTCACCCTAGAACCGGTTTTAGCAACCCAGTAACTGTGGTTGTGCCAGATTTACACAGCAATCAGCAAAGAAAATAAGCAGTCTAATTTCTTAGATATACCTCAGAATTAAGATAGAATTCCAAACCTCTGAGTTCAAAGGGCATTCCATGTGATTCTCGAAGCACCAAGGGTTACAAGCACATCTTCCAGTTCTCTGTAAAAGATCACACACTCCTTTAATACTTACAAAAGTGCTGCAAAAATCCCACAGATACAGAAGTGATTCTTTCATTTGTTAGAAAGAATATGCAGTTACAGGAAGCAAAGTGCGCAGTCAGTGGAAACGAAAACAAAAGTTTAGCTGCAGTGCTGCATGCACAATTAAGGGGCCAAGCACAGTAGGGCAAAAGAAAGATAAACAGCAAAGGACAAAATGAGTAATCAAAGACATGTATAGATGATTTAACGTAAAAAA